AATTATGGGTTCGAGTCCGTGTAGAGCTGCCTTTTTTTTCCACGACATATTTTTTGACAATAATAGGTATGTATGTGGGCGACTGCGAAGGAACGCAATCCAATGTGTATATTCCCGCACAAGCCTACTACTGCAGGTATTTTTTTCAACCAAACAAAACTATTCCACCTCCAGATCTAGTATGTGGAGCCTACCCTGGCAAGGGTACCCTACTCCGCAGCACGTGTCGAGGTACAAGACCACCTGTTCCACAATGGTGTCGACGAAGAGATATTATACGAAACTGATGTTCTTCTACGGTAGTGGTAGACTAGTCATTCATGTACTACATACAGTTGGCGCCCGCAGTTGGGAAATATTTTGTTAAGAAATTGAGGCTCACTTTGTCACGAAAAATAAGAAAATGGGGTTAAGAAACATAGCTCAACCTGGGTCACACAATAAGAAATGTCTCAATAAGAAACACAGCGATGACCGCTACCCTACTAGATAAGAAACGAGGGTTTACGGGGGAGTGTGTCGAATAACAAACACCACAGCTCTCTCGTTCTTTCCCCCTCTCCCCCGACCCCCTCCTCCCATACAGCAGTAGTGCATTATTGTTATTTCAAGTTGTACGACGAGGGGGAGTGTTTCTTTTTGCGGCGCCCCCTCCGACCCCCTGCGGGCTCTGCCATGATCTCTGCTGTGCTGGCGCTAACGCTTTGGCACAGCACACCAGACAGGCTGCGAACCACGACATGCTGTCTGCTGTACACGGTTTTGATGGTTCTCTCCGCCAACTCTCGTGAGGGCTTGACCAAGCTGGTCACCCTCAGAGATCAACAAGAACTGTCGACGAGCCAGCTAGGGGACATCAAGAAGCACCTTCTGAACAACGAGCCCCTGTCTCACGATTTCTGGAAAGGCATTGAAGAGCTGGGGAGTTTGAGGTCTTCCAATATCCTGACTTTGGAGGAGCATGTGCAGCATCTCAACGAACATGTGGCGTCCCACCTCAAGAAAAAGACCCCGGTGCCAACCCCTCCCTCCTGAATCGGCTGCTGGTTCAAGCGCACAGCAGTTCGTAGGGAAGAAGCGAAAGGCATCATCGTCTTCAACAGCATCAGCCAAGAAAACGGGGAGGGCAGCATCCAACCCGCCGGCAGGGACTCACAACATCATCAATGCCTTCGCTAAAGGCAGTGGCAAACATCAATTCCGCCGGGCCTCCACCGTCTCAACCGATAGTGCCTTGTACGAAGTGCAACCGTCGTTTCTTCAACACCCCAGGGCCTTGGGGTGCACATCAAAACTGACCACGAGCGTGAAGCGAAGATCTCGGTTCAACGGTGGTGTTCAACGAACAGGAAGGGGGCGGGGGCATCATCTCTCCTCCCTTGGGGTGGGACACCGTCAGGACGTTGCTGGCACGTTGCGTTTCACCATGGAGAGAGTCGCTGATGCGGCGCGACATGTCCGCCAGGGTCCGTGACGTTTGTGCTGCAGCCTTTACGCCCTGGAGCCGAGCGGAACAACAACCTCGTGAACGACGGCTTTTCACAAAGGGAGTCGCCACCAAGGAAAACGTGTGGATCAGCCTCGAGGAGACGGTACACCTCGCGCGAGAAGGTCGGTGTTATTATGGAGCTGCGAGTTCTAGAGTCGCGGTCAACGGAGGTTCGTGCGCACTTCGGTATGACCCCTCTCTTTTACTTGGAACATATGTCAGGGATCTCGGCCAGCAAAAAATGTATCAGCAAATGGCAGAAGGATGAAGACTCGCTCGTGCAGCAGGCAGCTGACAAGGTGCGGAGTAGTCTGATGGCGACATGCACTCGACGGCGGCTGTGGTTCCCTGACGCGGAGAAGGAGCTGTACAAGATGTTGCTGGCACGACGCAAGAGGAAGCTGCGGGTCTCGACAAGGTGGATCACGGTCACTTTCAAAAAGCTTATCATGGAAAGGTACCCGCAAGATCCACTCGCAAAGGCATTCCGGCCGTCCTTCCGGTTCGCGCAAAAGTGGGTGACAAGGCACTCGCTGTCTAAGCGGTGGCGGTCTAACTCCAAGAACAATTCTGTGGAGGAGAG